TCCAACAGTCTTGACAATCCAATTGGATGGCAGTTGTTACAAGTGGATGGCAGTTATTACAAGTGGCTGGTTAGTTGAGCTGATGTGGCCTCCTCTTGTAAAACTGACTAACTGCCTTCTGTTGGTCTGTTCCAGCAGTCTTGACAAGATAGAAAAACAGAAAAAAAAATAGAAGAGTAAAAGGTTGTAAATCTCAATGCTGCATACCTTCATTAGTTGTGTTCTGAAACTCACTAACCAACTCCTACAAAAAAGAGATAGAATAGGAGTAGACAAAGTAGTTAGATTAACTGACAGTAAACACAATAGCTTAGTTGTTTTCTAGAGATTTTTACTGTTGATCTTATATGTGAGAACCAAAGACAACTAAGGCATAGCTTGGGTAAACTCATGAAATACATTAAAAGAGTTAATACTGGCCAGTGTCAGTTTTAGGGGACGAATGTCACCATCACTGCAAAGTTTCAGATGACTTATGACAGAAATTGGAAACAATTTCAAGGACCGACTCACCAAATTATATATGGGACTGTTCTGCTTGACTGTGACTAACTCACCGAAATAGGAAATACCTGCAAAGAATGAGAGAAGTATGGATTCAATAAGTAACTAATATTCATTATGGATCTCATGGGCTAAAGTTTTGACCAGACGAGTAATTATAGCCATCACATCAATTGCATTATCTTTGATGAGCATAAAAATTTATTGGGACTTCATTTTTCATTTATGAAGTCACCTTTCGTAGGGCTTGACCTATCAATTGCATACACACACACACATATGGATATAGGTATATGAAGGTTCTAGGATAAATGATTTGAACTGCCAGCAAATTCTTTATCAGAAAAAACAAGACTAGTAGAAATTGGAAAAGATTTTTGGCCCAAAACATGCCGCTGAGAAAAAATTGAGACTTATAAAGGCAGCCCAAACATCTCTTGCATGCTCAAGAATATAGTTGTTATCCCTGATCAAATAGAGAATTTAATTCTTCAGTAACATTATGTGAATAGATCCTAGATATCATAGAATTAAAATTGACATCATATAGATCATATAGTATGTCCAGTTGTTCTTGTTGGTGACTGATGTAATTGGCTTTTAGAATCAAAGATTTTGCTAGATATCTATTGATAAAAATATCAAAGGTTACATTATTACCTTCTGTTCATGTTCTAAAACTTTGCCAAATGGGAACTAGTAAGGCTGCCTAGTTAAGGGATGAAAAGTGCATTCTTTACATTTCATAAATAGTGCTGAGAGGTATGCATAGGATGAGAAATGCAGATCTGGATTTTTGATGATTATGTTTGATGGTAATATTCTGACTTTGCAAATTAACACAAATCCAGGGATCTAGGAAGCATAGGCTTCTTTTTTTCTTTCTTCTCCAGGCATGTAACTGGTTTTATTTTATTCCTTTTCTTGTAGAGATGAATCAGTTTATATATTTCTAGTTGGTTAGATTGCATGTTGAACTGAACTACATTCATAATTTTCAGCTACTATCACATGCAGGTGCACAATCATTTTATGCCTTTTCATTGGGTATTAGGTGTATTGTTTCTCTCAGTCTACCTCAACTTGATTATAGAAATGAGTCCAGGTTTGGGGATTGATGAAGTTGAAGGAAGGGAAATGGATTTGGAGATTTGGTAGGAATTAGACACTTCAATACTGCTCTTTTAGGGAAATGGATTTGGAGATTTGGTATGGAAAGGGACAATTGGTGGAGGAAGTTAGTTGCAGCCAAATATAATACAGATAGAGGAAATTGGGTTACCACCTCTTCTTTCATGTCTTTGGGTTGCTCAGTTTGGAAGAAAATTATGGAAATCTTTCCTATTTTCAGCGAAGGACTGAGTCCTAAGCTGGGAAAAGGTGATAGGCTAGCTTTTTGGAACGACCCTTGGAGTGGCAGCTCTACTCTCTCAATTCTGTTCCTGCAGCTATTCCTTATAGCTGAGTCTCAAGAAGCAACTATATCTGAATGCTATGAATTGATTGACAACTCAGTGGTATGGTGTCCTCTGTCTAGAAGATATTTTCAGGAGTGGGAGATTGAGAAGTTTTCGGAGCTACTTGAGCTGCTAGCCCTTCATCAGCTGAACATGCAATCTGAGGATAGCTGGACTTGGAACTGGAGTTCAGGTGGCCAGTTCTCAGTCAAATCCTTTGCCCATTACTTATCTGATAACACCCTGGAAGAGATGTCTGCTTCTATAATCTGGAACCCAATCTCTCCTTCAAAGATTAATGCTTTGGTTTGGGCTTCAACTCTAGAAAGGTGCTTAACCAAGGTCCATCTCTCAAAAAGAGGGCTTCAGCTTCAAGATTTGCTATGTGTGCTTTGCGGCCAAGATTTGGAGGATAGTAATCACCTATTTCTTCACTGTCCTATCTCGGCTAAGATCTGGAATAACTACTTTTCTGCCCTGGATCTTGACTGGGTCATGCCTAGGTCTGTAAAGGAGCTGCTGAGATGTTGGAAGCTGCAAGGTCTGTCAAAGCTAGCAAAAAGTCTGTGGAGGTCCATTCCAGCGGCTGTAATCAGCACTACTGGGGCAGAAAGAAATAAAAGACTTTTCAAAATCTGTCCAAAGCCAGAAGATATGATTGCATTTACATTTGGAAAATTGCTTTCTTGGATCTCAGCTGTAAAGGGGTTTTGGGTCTCTCATCTGGTGAATAGATTGTCCTTTGATAATCTGTGGAATTTGTAATGTTGTATGATCTGTTTGAGCTTTCCCCAAAGTCTTTTTGGGGGGATCCTCTTGTACTATTATCTCATCTTTAATGAAATTACCTTACCTTTACTCAAAAAAATTATAACAGTAATTTCCAAAGACTAATTGGTCTTAAGTCAAAAAAAAAAGTTCAGGATTTTTATCTTTATGAATAAGAGTCACAAAAAGTGTAAAACTTAACTATGGTTAGGTTGAGGCACAAGGCGCACCAACACATGCCTATGCACACCAGCCATTGCCTTTTTAAATGGGTTGTGCCTCAGCGTAGGCATGGCACACTGCATGAAATGTACCTTGCTTGTGAACCTAAGTGTGCCTTTTAAATCATTGGATGGCTCCCAACTAAGTTCCATCCTGTAGAGGAGATGGGCCGAATGGCCCATAGGCTGTCATTCTATGTTATGTTTATGTTTTTATCTGTAATGGGCCTTATTCTGGGCCCATACTCTTATATACTCTGTTTTTTGTAATTTCTTGCCCATCTAAGGGCCTCTCTGTAATATTTCAAAGATTAACTTAATAAAATGATTTAGAGTGTTAGAGGGAGGTTTAGTTCGAACCTCTCTTCTCTAACTCACTCATTGCCGCCAGCTCTCTCTCTCTCAACTTCTTAATCTTCTCTTGTTCTTTTTCTGGTTTTGCATCTAATCTCAAGCAGTTCTATACTTCAAGAGGGCTGTTTTCAACTCATCCCAGGCATCCATTTCAACATTCTAAATAAAATCCTTGATCATAATGATCACTCAAAGCCAAAGTCACAAAAACTCTCTTTCATTCTCAAAGCACTCCAAAATATATCTCCACCAAAAGGAAAGGAATCGAAGATGAAGAAGAAGATAAAACCAAAGCAAAAAAAAAAAAAAGGTTTATCAGGAGGATCCCCAGTGGAATCGGGCTCTCCATCATGACTCCCTCACTAATGCCTCTTGAGCACCTAAATTGGGTAATAACCAGATAAGTATATTAACATGTCATTTGGTACCTAATGTTTATAATTCATAGTGGATTAAAAATTATGGATGAAATTTTCTGTTCAGTTACTACCATAAATCTATTCCAATCAATTTGTAAATAGAACAAGCAAACAACAAATAATAAACTATAAAGCATTCAAAGTGAACATGAGATATAACTGATTCAAGTACTTATTTCAGCAGGTAAAATCCTTGTTAAATTTCACAATACTCTCTAATTGGAATTGACAACCATAGTTTCTTCTCTCTAACTCCTGAAGCGCAATTATATGTCACCAATAAACCTAGAAAATCACCTTAGATGATATTGTCATTACCAGTGACTAGGAGGCAATGATTCAGAGGCTGAAGTGGTTTCTTGCTTATTAGTTTGATGTAGAAGATCAGGGTCCTCTAGAGTACTTCCTTGGGATTGAAGTTGCTCACTCAAAGAAAGGAATTTTCATTTTCCAAAGGAAGTATATCCTAGATATCCTACAAGAAGAAGGCAAGCTTGGGTGTAAACCAGCTAACAGTCCCATTGAGCTCAATCACAATTTGGTTTATAGTGAAGAGAGATAGTTACTGATATGAGATAGTGACTAAGACTTGTTGGATGCCTGTTTTATTTATCTATGAGGTGTTCTTAGTCAACATGTGCATACTCCAAAAACTGCACATGTTGAGGTAGAAAAAAGGGTTCTAAAGTATTTGAAGAAGCACCCAAGGAGGGGCACATGTTGAGACTCTAGAAAGGGTTCTAAAGTATTTGAATACTTGAAGATTGAAGCTTATACAGATGCAGATTGGATCAACTCCATATGTGATAGAAGATCAACCTCTAAGTATTGTACTTTTTTTGGAGGCCTGGTCAAGTGCTGATACTAAGTACCAATCTATTGCACATGGAGTCGTTAACAGTCCTAAATGTTAAAGTTCTTGGCTTGATGTGCTCCATCAGTCTTAAGGCTTTTGGCGTATTGGTCAAAGCACAAAACATTTGTTATTAGAGCCTACCACCATGTTTCAAGTTTGAATCACAAAGAGGGCTACCTTGGAGAAGGGCTACCTAGAGCCAAGTGAAAGCTACCACGGAAAGGGCTACCACCATTAGTGTCTTTCTTATTAGTTCTTTCTTGTTATGTTTTCTTATTGGGCCTTTTCTTTATAGGCCTTTAGCTCTTGTTTATGTTTTCTAAGTATAGTGCTGACATGGACGCCTACTTAAGGGCAATCTTGTAAATTATGTAACTTAAGTAAGTTTATTAAAAGATTAGTGGGGGAAAGAGGAGATTATCGAACTCCTCCTTTCTTTCTCCTTTCTTCTCCAATCTTCCTTCTTTTTCTTGTTGTCTCCTTCTTCCTTACTTTCTTTTGCTTTAATCTAAAATATTCTGCTAATTTTATTGGTTTGAATCACATCTTGGTATCAAAGTGGGTCTCCCTTCCGTTTTTCCCTTTTTTTCTTTTTTTTCCCATACACTTTTCTTCTAATCAAAAGGTGTATGGAGAGATAAACTGCTGATTATTCAGAGATCTTGTTTGCCTAGTTGGTAGAGGATTTGGAGAGTCAGAATCTGGCCAAATTGCCAAGAAAGTGGGTGCAGATTTTTTCCCAAAACCCTAGCCAACTAGATAATTTCCAGTTACGAGTTGAAGAGGTTGTTTGGATGTGGCGCTCTAGGCTTGGAGGGTTCCTTTTTATCTCCAAAAATGGGCAGTTGCTATTGGAAGTGGTTTGAATAGCTCTGGTTTGAGCAGCTACCTCTTCTCTCTTTCTCCTCAGAGGCCAGGTATAGTGAAACCCTAGTTTTGGGACTTTTGAGTGCTTGATTGGCCTTAGTTAGGTCTATAAAGGTTGAAAACATTGTTTTTTTATTTTCGTTTGATTGATGGAGCAATCTAGAAGTGAGGCTAAGTAAATCCCAACATCGGGGGTTGGTCCCGTAGATTCCATTCTGATAGGAATGACTTCACTTAAACTTGACAGAACAAATTACCTTGCTTGGGCACAAACTATTAAGATCCATGCCTGTAGTAGAGGTAAACAAGGGTTCCTAACGGGTAGTAAGGTGATGCCGGATGAGATTGATCCTACATATGAGAAATGGATGTAGGATAATTACACAGTTATTGGTGGTTGGTAAATTCTATGCAGCCCCACATAAGTCAACACTATCTATGGATGACTTCAGCCAAGGAGATTTGGGGTAGTGTGACAAAGACATACTCTCAGAAATTAAATGTTGCAAGGGCCTACAAACTGAGGAATGATCTGAAAATTTTAAAACTGGGGGAGAATAGTGTGGTTGTCTACTATTCGATGTTGAAGTCATAGTCACTGGAAGCATTTGTATGGGAAAGCACTAAAGATGCAGAAACTTCCAAGAAATTTGTGGAAAGAAACAGGGTGTTTGGGTTCCTTACAGGACTCAATCCTAAATTTGATATTACAAGGCAGAATATTCTAGCCAAGGATGAAGTGTCACTTGCTCAGGCATACTCTATGGTGAGCAGTGAAGAGGTACAGCTACAAACCCCACCTCCTCCGGAACATTTTGCACATGCTGGAGTAAAACCATAGGGGCTAAATGAAAAAAAGAGGTGATATGTGAATACTACAAGAAGCCGAAACATACTAAGGATTCTTGTTGGAAGCTTCACCCAGGTCTTCTTCTTGAGAGGTTTTGAAACAACAACTTTAAGAAGGGTGGTCAGTCAGGAAAGCCCAAGAATACAAATGTTGCTATAGTATCTGAATGTGAAGAAAAATCTGTTGTGGAACAACTGGCAACAGTGAAGGCAGAATTTGAGAGATATGGGAAGTTGATAAACCACTTGGAGTCTACTGTTGCATCTTCCTCCTCAGGCACCCCCTCTACATCCGCTTTTGTCCATTCAGGTATTCGTGCTTCTACAAATCATGCTACAGCCTCAGGTAATCGTAGAATTCCTTGGATCATAGATTCTGGTGCATCAGACCATATGACTAGCATACCCAACCTTTTTTGTTCATACCAGCTCCTCTTGGGTAGAGAGAAGATTTCTCTTGCCGATGGGTCTTTGCTCCCATCTCTAGCAAGGGGAATATTAAAGCCTCTAACTCACTTGTATTATCCTCTGTCCTTCATGTTCCCAAACATAGCACTAACCTTTTATCTGTTAGTAGTTTAACAAAATCAATGAGTTGGAGCATAACCTTCTTTCCTACCTATTGTGTTTTTTATGACTTGAAGTTTTATAGGACGATTGGGAGTGGCCATAAGGTGAATGGGATATACTTGCTAGATGTCTCTGATCAAAGTCCTGGATTACCTAGTGGAGTAACTTTGGAGTCTGTTTTATTAGAGTAAGTTAATAGAGTCATGATATGTCATTTCAGATTTGATTATTTGTCTTTTTCAGCTTTGAATCATTTGTTTCCAGAAATATTTAAGGGAATATCCCTATCGAGTATTCATTGTGAGTCATGTGAACTTGCAAAACATCGTAGACAATCTTTTTCAGTGAGTAATAAAAGATTTGTTTCTCCTATCCATATTGTCCACTCTGATGTGTGGGGTGCATATTATTTACCTGCTATGGGGGGTTACAAATATTTCATTCTTTTCATTGATGATTTCTCTTGTTACACCTGGATCTACCTTATAAAATCTCGGGATGAAGTACCAAATATTGTACAAAAATTTCATGAACTTATACTTACCCATTTTAACACTCGGATCAAAATATTCTGATCTGATAATGCAAAGGAATATTTTGAGAAGAGTCTTTCCTCCTACTTTGATACCTTTGGAGTTACTCATCAAAGTTCCTGTTCCTACACTCCTCAACAAAATGAGTGGCGGAAAGGAAGAACAGACATGTGGTTGAGGTTGCGAGGAGCCTCCTTTTTGTTTCCCATGTTCCTATTAAGTTTTGGGGTGATGCTATCCTTACAGCTAGATACTTGATAAACTGAATGCCTTCTCGAGTTCTGGGGTTTAAAACTCCCTTTAGCTTGCTTTTCCCAAATGAGGATCTCTTCTCTCTTCCTCTCAGGGTGTTTGGGTGTACTTGCTATGTTCATGTTCACAGTCATCAAAGACATAAGTTTGAGCCTAAAGCACACAAATGTGTCTTTTTGGGATATGCCTCCACATAGAAGGGGTATTGCTGTTTTGATCCGATTCGGCACTTGCTTTGTTTCTAGAGATGTCACATTTGCAGAGTCTGTTCCTTTCTTCGGTACTTCTCTTGAGGGGGAGCATTCAAAGGAGTTGTTTGCATTGTCACCATTTGTTCCTCCTCCAATTCCCATTGAATCTTCTATAGAGTCTCCTCTAGTCGAGTCATCTATCCCTGCTCCCCCTCCTCCTCCTACTCATCCCCCTACTTTTCCTTCCCATCCTATTATCCAGAGGTGGTACTAGAGACAAAGATTCAGAGACATGCAAGTTGTTTCAATGCCTTCAAATGTGTCTCTTGCTCCTCTCATCATTATTGAGGTAACAGGTCAGCCCTCTTCTACCACTTCGGATACCCTCCCTGACCTTGATCTCCCTATTTCCCTTCGCAAAGGCAAACAGAAATGTACAGCTCATTGCATTTCTAAACACCTATCCTACAGCCTTCTTTCCCTTCCTACTATTCCTTCCTTGCCTCTGTTTCCACACATGCAACTCCCAGATCTGTCCCAGATGCCTTGTCCAAACTAGAATGGAGGGATGCTATGATGACTGAGCCAAATGCTTTGCATAAGAACAGTACCTGGGAAGTTGTGGATTTGCTTGAGGGAAAGGAACCAGTTGGTTGTAAGTGGGTGTTCACTATTAAGTATCACTCTGATGGTACTGTTGAGAGATATAAGGCCTGTTTAATTGCTAAAGGATATACTTAGATGTATGGTATTGACTACTTAGAAACTTTTGCCCCAGTAGCCAAGATGACTTCAATTCAAGTTTTGCTATCTTTAGCTACTGCTTTTGATTGGCCTCTTCATCAATTTGATGTAAAGAATGCTTTTTTGAATGGGGACAGATTTTGGGCCGGATGTCTTTACCTTCAGTTTTTGAATGGGGACCTTTTTTGATGTAAAGAGGTCTATATGTCTTTACCTCCAGGGGTGTATGGGAAGGAAATGCAAGGAAAGGTCTATAAACTGAAAAAGTCTCTTTATGGCCTCAAGCAATCTCCTAGAGCCTAGTTTGACAGATTTTGGGCTGCTCTTGTTGCTTTTGGGTACACCCAGACTTGGTCGGAACATACTTTGTTTGTTAAGAGGAGAGATTCCTTAGTGACCCTTCTAAGTGTCCATGTTGATGATATTGTGGTTACCGGTAATGATACTCAGGAAGTTGTTCATCTCAAGAGCTTTCTTAACACTGAGTTTGAAATTAAAGACTTGGAAGAACTCAGATATTTCTTGGGAAATTGAAGTTGCCAAATCTAAGGATAGTATCTTCATTTCTCAGTGGAAGTATGTTCTTGATCTCCTTGTAGAGACTGGCAAACTGGGGGCTCGACCTGCTTCTACTCTTATAGACCTAAATCATAAGTTGTCAGCTACTAAAGGTGAACTATTGCCTGATAAGGGAGTGTTATAGAGACTGGTCGGGAAGTTATTATACCTTTGCATGACTCGGCCAGATATTTCCTATGCAGTTAGTGTAATCAACCAATTTTTGCATTCTCCCAGAGATACACGTTTAGCAGCTGCTGAGAGAGTTCTGTATTATCTAAAAGGGACTCCAGGAAAAGGTATCTTGTTTGCTAAGCATGAACACATGAAGTTGGAAGCATACACTGATGCTGACTGGGCCGGATGTATTGATGATAGGAGGTCCACTTCAGGTTACTATGTTATGGTAGCAGGGAACATTGTATCATGGAGGAGTAAGAAGTAGTCTATAATGGCAAGATCCTCAGCTGAAGCGGAGTACAAGGCAATGGCACATGGAGCTTCTGAACTTTTATGGTTGAGATCACTTTTAGATGAATTGGGTATAAACTGTGAGAAGCCAATGATGTTATATTGTAACAACCAAGCTGCTATCAACATTGCACATAATCCTGTTCAACATGACAGAACTAAGCACATTGAAGTTGACTACCATTTTATATGAGAGAAAGTTGCCTCAAGATAAGTTTGTCTACCATTTGTTGCTTCTAGAGAACAGTTGGCTGATGTTTTGACAAAAAGTGTTCCTAAAGGAAAGCTGGTTCACTATATAAGCAAGCTAGGCATGATGGATATCTATGCTCAGCTTGAGAGGGAGTGTAGAGAGACTGAGCCAAATGGGCCCTAGCCCATTAGTGTCTTTCTTATTAGTTCTTTCTTGTTATGCTTTCTTGTTGGGCCTTTAGCTCTTGTTTATGTTTTCTAAGTATAGTGCTGATGTGGGCGCCTACTTAAGGGCCTTCAACCATCATGTATGCAGTTGAAAGTAGTAATAGAATTGAATGGTTTTTATTGCTATTTTTTCTTTCTTATGTTTCTAATAGTACTGAAACTTTTGCAGTGTAGAAGATTGGTCTTAAAAGAAGTCAAGGAAATCAACACAGTGTTTATCAGAAAAGGGAACATCAACAACAATCCTCCTGATGTAGATGATAGTGGTTACCAGGGATAGCATGTAATAAATCAAAGAGTTAAAGAAATTGTTAGGTTAAAGAGCTTGAGGAAGGAATTACTATAAGGCAGCATAAGCATATCCATGATCTACTTAAAGAAACTAGAAAACTTGGGCCAAAATCTGCAAAGACACCAATGAAACCAAGTTTATAAGTTTGGATGATCAAGGAGGTGAACTTGTTCATGATGTTGGCATCTTTCAAAGATTACTAGGAAAATTAATATACTTATCTCTTACTGGACCTAATTCTGCATATGTTATTGGAGTTGTTAGCCAATTCGTGCACTCACCCAAGTCTAATTCCTAGTAAGGGGTTGTTAAAAAAGAATGGACAACATGAAAGTAGAAGCTTATAAGGATATGAACTGGGCAGGTTCAATCATTAAAATCACAAGGAAAGATACAATTCCATAAAATTTCCCAAGTCCAAGTGAAAGAACAAGATGGCAGTAGATAAAGAAGAATTTCTGATAGATGATGTTAAACTATCAAAAGTATTGTTCAAGGTCTTCAAAAGTATAAAATCAGAGCATGCAACGTCTATTGAGGATCCACAATCAAATTCAGAATCAAATGTAGTCAAGCCCCATATACTGAGGATAAAAAGATGACTTGAAGGATTCATTCAATTCTACAGTCAAAAACCATAAAAGAATAATAATAATTTTGAATATACAAAATCAAATCTAAAATCTAATAATCATTAAAAACCAAATTGATATTGAAAATAAATACACCCATCGATTAATGTGTTTACAACAACCAACGGTATCTGAACATGAAAATCCAAATATAATAATTATACCATAAACCAGAAGGCCCAGAATTGAGGCAGAACCAAACTAAATAAAGGGATAAAGACTGAATATAATCTCTCAAAAACCAAAAACCCAACTGAAAAATCAGCCGTTATCATCTTGCAACCTAGTTCCAAATTTCCAATACACCACTATAAAAGAAAGTAGCTGGCACCTAGTTTCGATTTATCGATCGAAGTAACCGAAATTATAAGAAAAGCAAAGTGGAACTATGATAGCCCTTGAAATTTACAGCACCTCCACAGAAAAAAAATGACAAATAGAACCCTTGCAATCCATGAATTAAAAGAATTTGAAAAACAAAAGGTAGGAAACAAAAACAATAATCGTTCCACCAGAAAAGCATCCTTAAACCGAACTACAGCCATATGCCAAACCTCCGGAAAATAAGTAGTAAGAACCGAAGGAAAAGAAACCAATCTTAAACTCATACACCAGAAGAGAAGGACGTTATACGATACAGACCGAAGACATAAAATATAGGCAGACCAATGTAAAAGAAACAATATATTTTTCGTATCTCGAGAAGGGAAAAGTAAGGAAGATACCTAGTTTGTCGTTACACCAAATGGCTTAAAACTGAAAAATGAACCCGGATATTTTGCAACAGGAGGCAGGAGCTAGTTAAAAATAAGAGAGAACTCTTGGTAAATGTTACATACTTACATCTACATCCACGTTGCATCACTGTTTCTCCCGCTTATTTTTTCAACTCCACCCCTGTTAGTTCCACGTGAACTGTCCAGTATTAACAAAATCAAACTTAAAAAATTAAATAGAAAAATGAAAAATGTAAGGATTCTCGGATTAGAGCAGAAGAACATGAACTGTTTGAAATAGATCTGAATCTACATTCTTAAAATCCAATGGAACATATTGAGAGAAAGAGTTAAACCTAAGATCTTCAATCGACACCAAGAGGTCCAACACTGACCATACCTCCAACAGTAAAAAGGAAAGAAGGAATCCGCCCCCACACGCACGCATACTACTGCCCGACTGAACACAAGGCTGCAGAGTTCTCTGTCAGCAACAGTTGTAGTTCGAGTCAACAGATGCAGCAGCAGCAGCAAACAAATTGATGGTGATGCTGCTGCTTTAGCAGCCTGCCTAGAAGATGGTGGTATGGCATTAGAAGAACGGGGGGGGGGGGGGGGGGGGGGGGGGTTGAGAGACCACGTATATTGATCACTTCGTTATCGTCGGTCGATCCTCGTGTATTGCAGAGAGACGAAAATACGCAGAATAAAACTGCGCAAGTGATACTGTCCTACACAGAAAATATTCATATATGAATTTGATCTCGAAGGGAACCGAAAAGAGAGGTGATGGGACCGATTATCGTCTCTTTCTATTTTTATTATATTTTTTAAACTTATTTATTATTTTCTTTTTAATTATTATAAATGAAAAATACAAAAACGAACATCATTACCTTTTAAAGAACTAAAGAAGGACAGCCTCACCATCCTTCCTTTTTACCTCCCCACGGGAATACTCTTGTTACCGTCTTCCTTTTCCCACCCTTTGTTTCTTCCTTTCTTTTTCCCAGACCTGTAATACCATTAGTAAGGAAGAGGAGGGGGAGGAGCTGCAGCTATTTGGTGGAGAAAGATAGGAAGTCAGGACGCATCGGCATGCAGATGGGTGTATTAGAGAACTCAGAGCTGGCACCTCCACTCGAGTGAGTAAGCACAGTTGTTGGAAAAAGGTTTAGGGGGCTGGGCACCAATGGACGCCTATGAAGCTACAAGGATCGTCTTCTCGAGAATCCAGAGCCTAGATCCCGAGAATGCCTCTAAGATCATGGGACTTCTCCTCATTCAAGATCACGGAGAGAAGGAGATTATCCGTCTGGCCTTCGGACCCGAGGCCCTAGTCCACTCTGTGGTCCTCAAGGCCCGAAAGGAACTGGGACTTTCGTCGAACACCCCGTCGACGCCATCCACGCCTTCGTCTCCGTCTCCGTTCCTCTCCAGCAGCTCCAACTCCTCCGTTTTCAGACAGGATTCTTCTTCGCGGATGCTTGGCGGCGGCCTCAGCCTTGCTCATTCCCTCTCCGTGCAATCATCGCCTTCTCTGTCGTCGTCTTGGACTGCTTCCGCCTTCTCAGATATCCCCAACCAGGACGACCTTGTAAGTCCCGGTTCCAGCTCATCTGCCTCCTACTCGGCGGGAATAAATGGCATCAACAACATGGTCGTGGGTTCTCCGCCCGCATCATCTTTGTTAGCTACTGCTTCGGCTTCTCCTTTCTATGGCGGTGGTAGCGATCTGATTGATGAGCTTCAGCTCCAAGACCAGCTGTCATTCCTCAACGATGCCTCCCCCACACATGGGCTAAAAAATGCAGCTGACATGTTCTATCCACAATCCGAATCAGCCAGCGGAACCAGTGATTCTATGATCTTCCCCTCTTACGCCGCCGCCGCCGCCAGCTGGGGAGCTTCTATCAATGGCCACCACCGGCGTAGCTGTTCCGTCACTGACGTCTTGGTCTCTGATGCTGGGGCTGGGTTTGGGTGGAAGCCATGCCTTTACTTTGCTAGGGGTTACTGCAAGAACGGAACCAGCTGCCGGTTCCTTCATGGCTTACCCGATTCCCCTACGGCCGTGTCTGATACTGCCTCTTTGGTGGGCTCTTCTGGAAAGTTAGACATCGTGGAGCAATGCCAAGAGCTGCTCAGATCTAAGGCCGCCGCGCAACAAAGGTTGGGTACAGTGTCCCAGCTCATGGCTTCCCCTCCTTTCCCCTTCACCACCCCAGCCGATGGCACCGGAAAATGCATGAATTTCTTGCTTCAGCAGCAACAGAATGATAGCATTCAAAGGTATAAACCGATACTAAATTGATCCCTTGTATAGTACTCTTACACGGTTGAAGCCGGCCGCGGTGATACCACTTGTTTTAATTAAATTGTCATCGTCAGAGCGGCAGCAACCATGATGATGAGTGAAGACGTACACAAGTTCGTTCGACCTCGACTGGAAAGGACGGAGTTCTCGACGACAAACGGTGGAGGGATGGCCAGCCCGGGATCCAGGCAGATCTACTTGACGTTCCCGGCTGACAGCACCTTTAGAGAAGAAGATGTGTCTAATTACTTCAGGTTCTTCCTTCACATCATCAAATACCAGAATGCAGTAACTTTAAATTTCAAGATTGACTAGTGAAATTGAAGTGAGTTTTAACTCCTTTTGTTTCTTTGTTTCTTCTTGAAGCATTTATGGGCCTGTACAGGATGTGAGGATCCCATATCAGCAGAAACGAATGTTTGGGTTTGTCACATTCGTCTACCCGGAGACGGTGAAGCTCATTCTGGCCAAGGGGAACCCGCATTTCGTCTGTGATGCTCGCGTGCTTGTCAAACCATACAAGGAAAAGGGAAAAGTCCCAGACAAGTACAGGCACTCACTCTCCTCGCTTAGTCTCATACTAATCACCAATGCTGCTCCCGCCGTTGCCACTACTACTTCTACTGTTCCTCCTATATCTCTCATATATCATGTTTAGCTTTTAATCTTCTGCCATTGCTTACACAGGAAGCAGCAGCAACAGCAGCAGCAGACGGATGGAGGAGGCTTCTCGACTTGTACTACCCCTACTAGTCTCGATTCCGGAGATGCCTACGAACTGCAACTGGGTAAGCAAGGAAAAATTCTCCTTTCGTCACTTGGCTGTTTATTGTCCCCTTTCTCTTTATGAAGATTTATGAATAAGGGCATTCATCCATTCAGGAGCAGCAAGGATGTTCTACAACACACAGGACGTGCTACTGAGAAGGAAGTTAGAGGAGCAGGCTGACTTGCAACAAGCCATAGAGCTCCAAGGACGAAGGTTGATGGGTCTGCATCTTTTCGAAGTGAAGAAGCATCACCACCGCACTATGTCTGCCGGTCCTCCCGTTTCCTCCACGCACTCTTACGTTAATCAAAGTCTCGTCCTTCCTTCTGATTGCAGCAGCAGCCCCGAAACGCCCGACGGTATCTCCTTCCTTCTTTTCACAAATTGCTGTTTTGAATTTCCAATAAGAACGGTAGGCCTGAAAACTTCCAGTAGGGGCTTGTTCAAATTTTGCATCGTATTGTTTCAGAGAACTGTGTCAGCCCTGCCACTAGCATTTCTGCCGCAGCCACTACTGCTGCTCCTGCCGATCAGCAGTCGCAGCAGCAAGCATTGAATTCTCACGAAGAATCCAGTGAAAACAAGGAGGTGATCCGTGACGTTGAAGACTCTGACTTCCAAGATGGGTAATGAAATCCCTCTTTCTTTCCTGATTACCATATGCTGACGAGAAAAATGGCCCTCAAATAGTAATTTTCAAATTTTTTCTTGGATTTCTTCTGATTTCCTGTTTTAGTCTATTTTGGGTCCTCCGATTTATTCTCTATTTTTTCTCTCCATTTGTAGTTGTTTTCCTTGCCTTATTATCATTTTCGTATTCTCTAACTAAATTGATTATTGAGTGCAGGGTAGAGCACAATCTCCCTGATAGTCCTTTTGCATCTCCTACTAAATCAGCGGGAGACCACTCTTCTTTCTTTTCCGCCCAGGAGGCCGAGAGGAGCATTGCTGCCTCTGCTTCATCTTCGTCTTCTACTTCCTCTCCACTGCCGACCACGTCTTCCTTGGATATTACTTCTTTCAAATCATGCTTCTTCCAAGTTCCCAGGTATTATTAACTATATCTCTTGTCAATAGAATGTATGTTTATCCTCAAAATATGATGATTATTGGTAATAATAGGCATACGAACTTGGCTTTTGCTACAGGTTCTCTTCTGGGCATGGAGCCATAGGATTGTAAAACGATGATGGAGACCGGGTGGGCATTGGCTTCCCCTGCTCGGGTAAGGAATTACGCGCTTATTTATTTATTTACTTATATTTTGGAGAATTGGATTCGTTAGATACCCAATTTGTTTTTTCGTTTCAGAAGCCCCATGTTCTACCGAAATTGTGGCCGTTTTCTTAGATCCCTAAATATTCTTCCTTTTGTTATGTTGCACTCTGCTTCCGCAGGAAAATTGAGAATTATAAGCCTACAGGATGATACACATTACCTGTATAATCATCAGGACTGAACCAAACGAGATCACAAGAATACTGTTTACTACAACACAATACATACTGATAGACAGATGGACTGAGTCGACTGACTTGGGAGTGACGATCGCCCTTTCTGTCATGCACTTTTTCTTCTCTCTTATCCCTTTTATATTAGAGGAGATGGACCACAAACACATAACGCAGGACCACCACAATGTGTGGTAACTCTTTGTATTTGTAGCAGTAACTCTTTGTATTTGTAGCTCTCCCTTCCATCATTTTACTGTCCATCTCTCGTCAGGAAGTGACCGTGAAAGAAAAAGAAAGAAAAAAAAAAGAGAAAAAGTAGAAGAAATTGCAAAGTAAAGTGTAAAAACACAAAAGTCGTCCGTGAGGACTGAAGAGGAATCAACAGTCTTGAGAAGCAGGAGCAAAATCAAGGGGGGAGGAGCCGAGACACTGTTTACTGAGTGCGAGAGAGCAATAACACAAAGATCGGGAGGAGAAAATGGAAAAAGGACGGCTCGTCTCAGTTCGGCTCAGCTCATGACACTCATGTAAGGCAGATACAGACAGGACTTGGTTTCTGTAGTTGTGATACAGCATTTGTCTTTGTGCCATCTCTCTCTCTCTCTCTCTGGTGCACTATGTCTTTTTTAATTCATTTATTCATGGGTTGGAGAGGAGGAGTCACATGGGTGCTGACACAACATGTGGCCACTGGGTCCTATCCCCCACGTATTTATCATCAAAATACAATAAACGAAAGGTCCCACATCACACCCTCAGCCAACACCCTTTCACTATCAATCTCAGCTTTTCGCAACTTTTTTAGCTGTTGGTGAACTGTTTAAAAAACACCCAGTCTTTTTTCGGGGACTGATTTGGGCACATATCCAAGTTTTTGCTTTTTTTTTTCCATATAGGCTAAACAACACCAGTCTGCAACTAACCACGTTCGTCGCCAGCAAACGTGGGCCCCAGTCCCACTAAGAAATGTACTGCTCTCGCACTCAAAAAGGACTTATGTCTAGAAGTTGATGCCACACGTATGACACAGAAACACGTGGTAGAATCTTTTGAGTGTTGAGTAGACGGACGTGGCTTCTCTGACACTCTGACATGTTTGCCTGCAAATTCATAGTCACGGGTGAGGAGACTCTAGACAGGATTTTCATCCGTCATTGTTTGCCCGGCTCCATCGGCTGACGTCTAGTTATATATGAACCTCAAGGCAAAAATTCAAGCCTCCCCTCCCCATGTGTTTTTCGGGTCCGAACTATGGAGTTTTGGTAGGTAGGGAGTAAATTGCAGACAGTGGAGTGGGTCTTCCGTATTTATCCCCAAGGCAAATAAGGTTAATCCGAAACTAACATTATGCGACCTTAGATTTCTTAGCCAGTCAGCTGCAGTGTTGTTAAGGTAAATTTCAAAGCATTCGTCCGAAATAGCTTTAACATTCTAGGGTGGATCTTCACGTCCACTTAAGCCATTAATAATAATGTTTGAAATTTGAATCCCCCTTCTAAACAATGTTTCTCTTGCCAGGTCTGCCCAAGTTCAGGCCCGTTTGGGCAGTACCAACAAGAACTGTCCCAACACTCTTCGAATATAATCTTTGTTTATACATCTCACTATAAGATTAGGGCCCATATGAGATGCATGGACACAGATCATGTTCGAATGTTTTTTGGTTTGGAGATAAAGACTCCTGTTTAAGAGGGCTGAGTTGAACATTTAACTATATGGGGTTTGCTACCTGATTTGGAGTTTAGGACATTAGGACTCCACGAGTACTATTTTTCCATGATTTCTTATTAGAACTCCTGTTTGGCTACATGACTGCTCTTTTTTCCATTCTGTTCTATTCATTATCATATCCATTGTTAAATCTTGAGTGCTTCAATCATTTCTTACATGTTCTGTCTAGTGTTATATGCTTTTCAATCTGCCTCTAGATCTTCTAGCCCCCTCAACTTGTATAGTATATCTAAAGATATTATCTACAGAACAAAATTTACCCTTAGTCAAGTGATTGAGTTTGTTATTGGATTGATTTGTTCCCAAGATACAACAAAGCATCAAGTGAAAAACAGCAACCAACAAACTTGAAGAATTTCCAAGCAAACCTTTTATGAAACAATAATAATCCAAATTGAAAGAAACAATGAATGACTTGTGTATATGAATTGTGCAAAAATGTCTTGACCTATAGCCCTTTTATAGATTATGAAAAGTTACTTTAAAATTTTTTCAAGTGCTTGAGAAGAGGTTGATCTGTATAATCATGAATTTAAATTAAGTGGTTGTTCATAATTAGTTAACAATTAATAATTGTTAAACATTTAAATGGTATTTCTTGATCACACTTGACCAAATCATTATCATTGGATTAAAAATTAAAATTCAACAATTATGAATCAACTTTCCCATTGTTCCAGTGTGTCCCTATGCAAATTCCATTGTGGAATTCATAGTTGGATTCGTACTTGAACCTAAATTTGCAGCCAAATTCTCACTTGGACTTGTAAAAGGCCCAAAACATTCCCATGCAAACCACATGAGAAGTGTGAGCAAAATGCATCTTACTACACACACACGTTGCATGGTACCATGTTTCTATACTCCCCAATTCATCCTTCTAAATAGTGTATGCAAACTCCTATTAATAAGTTAGAAGGATAACTACTTACATACACATGTACTTTAGAGAAACTACTTATATATATGGGTGAACATGGATCGGTTTGTTTCCATGGCAGAACCTGGAATCTACCCTATAGAGGTTGATTCCAGGTTTTTGAAATATCCTGTAAATGTCAGTTTTGGCATTGGCGGTTGTAGGGTTGGTTCTGGGGTCTATTCATGGAAACCATTCTTTCTTTATTCTCCCTGTTCAAAAAGAAATAATGAAATATGTTCTTTAAAATTTTGATTTTCAAATAAAATATAATATATAGTTAAGACTTATATTATTTTTATTGATTAAATTGAGTAATTTAATATATTGACTATCATAATACATTAATATATGGTTCAAAACTTATCAACTAAATTTAAATTTTGTAAATATTATTTTTTACATTACTTATTATACACATCCAAATATTAAAATGAAAACAAAACATCAAATCACTTAAGTAACTCAATAGTCAAGACCATGTCCTTTGTAACCACGAGTGTTTGGGTTCAAATCTTCACATCCTCAAGAGTATTTGGGGGTTTATTTCAAGGTAAGTTCAATTCCAAGGTTGGTTCAACCAAGGCCAACTAAGGCAAGTTCATTAGGATGGTACGAGTATGGTAAATTAATAGGCCCTAGAACCAGCCTAGGTGGATTCGGTTCCAAGAATTTGGAACCAAATTCTACCTTGTAGTAGATTAGGTAGGATCAGTTCAAGACCAATTCGAGGTCAGTTCCATTCAGTTTCGAGTAGAACCTAACCATTTGCTCACCCCAACTTATATATGCCCCGAACTTTCAAAAACAACTTTGACATACCTTGTTGACCTTTCTAAAGTTAACTCAAACTGATAAATCTTAAAGGACCGAATTGCCCTTAACTAGTGATATATTAAATTTTTAAAATATGCCATCCTCTCCTATTTTTTTTCTTTTTTTCCTTCTTCCTCTCTATCTTTTTCTTCTTCTCCACCCTGAAACACCACCAAAACTCCTTTTTTTTCTTTTTAGAGAGAAATGGAGTCAAGAAATTTGATTCCAAAACCAAAACCGAAGTCACGAGAATCTAAAATTTCCTTGTATTACTCTCACCAACAAAATAGTCTAAAATCTAACTAGTCAAATAAATAAAAATCCAAATTTCCTCCAACTACGATTACACGCACTAGTGATCACCCATCACCAAAAAGCCAACACATCTAAGTGTTTACTGCTAAATGTAGAAAGTGAATGGTTATTTGTGACTTGCGACTACATATATTGTTCATCAATATCTTAGTGGCCTAGTGGCACTCCTCACTCTTTAATAATCTAGACCAATAAAAGACCATCCTTTCTCTCTTATAATGGCCTTCTCCATTGTTTATAGGGATGCAAAAGGAACAGATTAAATCAGATTCAAATACGATCCGATCCAGAGATCCAATCGGATCTCACAAATGGTTATTCGAATCTGAATCCATTAAGGATGTTGAGTATCTAAATCTGATCCAATCTAATTCGAATTATGAAAATTTGAAAACATTATTAAAAGAAAAAACATAAAAGTTTATATAAAGAAAAACAAAAAATATAAGTATTTTTCCAACTATTTTCATCATATATATTAATATATATACATGTCTTTTTATAAAAAAAAAAATACAAAAAAACATTATAAACATATTTATAAATAAATATACTAATCTATACATGCCTTTTATAAGTTGATATGTTTATAAATATATACATATGTACAATTGAGTCAGATAGGGGTGAGCTAATCTGATCCGATTTTCAATCAAATCTAAATATTCGATCTTAATATCCGATAGAGGGTCATCCATATCTAACAAAAATAGGATTGGATTTGGATCAAATTGGATCATGATCCAATCCATTTGCACCCCTAATTGTTCAAAAACAAAGGAGAAACAAGTATTCAATTTCTAGGTTATGGGTTCTGATTTTTTGTTATAAAATTTTTGCTAATATTAATATTATAAAAGCATTTGGAGTAAAGTATTAAATGTTAAACAATATATGCCTTTAACTCCAATCAGATTGATGTATACAAACATTTATTTGTAAATAAATAAAGTACATAGTTGTTTCATGTTTATATTGGTATGTTTTTTGTGTATTACCCCTTAAATTGGATACTTATGAGACTCGTGTTAGTTTAGAATGTTTTCAACCATTGAATAGATTTGGGGAGTTTATCCTAACAAGACTGACACTAGTGTATTGCCAAGCATTTGGAGCATCTTGTCTTAACTGCTAGGGTTAGACCCTATGCACAGTTAGTGGGTGCTTATAAGAGACATTCAACCCTGATCAATTTTTAGTTATGCCCTAGACCTTTGAAATAGATGAACGAAACTGGAAAGTTACACATAACCCCAAACTTGATTACAATACTACACTAAGTAGTGGACCAAACTACCTTTAATGTGCCAATCAGTGCGGTCCATCACGAGTCAAAATATCTGGGCATGTTGGGGAAATTTAGGAAATTACTTGAGTGGGTGATCATAGTGATAGGATCAACTCCTTTGTCGTACAAAGAGACTATCAAGGTTTACACTCTCTCTAATGGAAACCTAAACTATCAACAGTGAATTTCATTTGTGTTTGAAATTTGGTTTTGCAAAATATATTTATATATTATATTACTATTTTATAAAAAGATTTTTAATCACAGGATCCATCTAAGTAGAGAGTGTGACATTGCACCTTACAACTAGGTCATTTCCTATCGGGTAGTATTCTGATGATTATGAGATGAGAGGTTAAGCGTAAAAGACAATTACAGAGATGATTACTTGATAGGTTTTATCTCACACGAGTCTATTATCCTTGGGTCTTCATTGGGTGACTAAATCCAATGATCATTTAAGTGTAAATGTTGGCCCTAGACTGAGCCCATGCTGATTGTCTCAAGGGTTCATTGTCCTAAGCAGTGAATTCGG